GTACAGTGAAACTCCTCTACAACGAAATCATGTTTGCAGCAAGAACACACACACACCCACTCACACAAACGTATGTGTACACGCACACACAAACGTATGTGTACTCTATTTTTATTCCAATAGTGCATAAGTATGAGCACACACTTATTTGGCACTTCATGTTGTCAGTGTAGAAAGAAAAAAAGGGAAAGAAATTGCAAAATTTACGATCAGCATTCACTTTCACTGACATCAATTTCTTGGATAATGTCTTTTCTTTTGCTTGCTCCGTCTTTCATTTTGATCACTTTTACCCTCTCTTCCAGCATCAGAGCTCTTCTTGTCTGAGTTGCTTGACATCAAAAGGTCCGTTTTGGAGCCATTTTAGCAATGCAACGTCCATCCTCGTCTGAATCTAACAATAACAAATACTTCCTGGCATGCAATGAACTTTTAAGCCAGCTACGGGACACTTCGTAGTCCTCGATGGCCATAGTTAGCAATCGAAGGCTAAAAACCTTACGCTAACTGGAGCGCTAATGAGAGAGAAGCGCTCCAGTTATCATAAGGTTTTTAGCCTTCGAGAGATAACTATGGCCATCGAGGACTACGAAGCGTCCCGTGGCTGGCTTAAAAGTTGGTCCCGTGGGTGTTTTTAGCATGATAACAAGTAAAGCATTCGAGGAAACGTTTGTTTATTTGAATGTCCGTCGAGCCATTGGACGCTTCGTAGAGAGAAAAAAAACAACCATTTGTGTGTCTTTGTAAATGTTAGTAATATATTTTTTGTGTTAATGTCCGCTGCACCCTAATCATCCAATCAGTGTCATTTTCACAAAAAATATTTAAAAAATAAAATAAAATAAACCAGGTAAATCATTAACGTACGGTGTCACGTGATTACGTCACCGGAAGTTGTTAGCGCTCAGCAGTCTGCAATTGCAGCTTGCGCTATATCTTTTATCGTCATTATTCTCATTCAGAGTTTGCTTCGTGTACAATTCACCGAGGGCACGGGCAAAGAATAGGAATCTAGAGGGCCCAGGGCAGCACTTTAAAACGGTACGTGTGAACTACGATAGTTAACAGGCTGCAAAAGTGAATCTCATGCCTCCGTATCAGGCTGTTTCTCATCATGGCGTGCGTGCGTGCGTGTGCGTGTGTGTGTGCGTGCGTGCGTGCGTGTATGCGCGGTAAGGGTCGATTCCGGAAGGGTGGTATATCGAAAAGTAGATCTAAGGTCCAAAAAGTTTGGGCACCCCTGTTCTCTACAGTAGTTCTAAAAACTCTCAGTTGTTTGGAAGGAAATGTTTTTTTTTTTTTTTTTTTTTTTTTTAAATGATTGGGCCTACCTGAAAAAAAAGTTTTCGTCTTTGGTTTCATTCAATGCAGTATTGTATCATATGCGTAATAATTGCAAAAAATAAAGATGACACTTCACGGATTTCACTTATCACGGGTTCTTTTTGGAACGTAACCCCCACAATAAACGAGGGATTACTCTATTCAACTATTGTTTAAGTGACTTTATTGAGGGATTTGGTCACAAGAAAATGCTTACAATATCTGTTATTTATTACATATGAAAATTTGAATGGTCCAGGACTGGGACAGGATGATTTTTTTTTTTTTGGAATATGGACGGGATGGGAGTGAAAATCCACTCCCATGTCATCCTCTGTCACCGACTTAGTTTACTGCAATTGGTTAGTTTACGGCAATTGGACCTTGAAGAGTTTAAGCGCTGTATAAAAACTGATGGATGCCTGAATGACAGTTGGCTTTATGATCTCATTTAGTTATCTCTTGTCTTCAAAAGAAAAGGAAAAGTGGAAGTCGAGTCTGAAGGCGAGGTACATTTTCCATCAGCCGGTGGAGCGAGTCACCAAAATATGGAATTACAAAACATGTTTTGTTTGCTTGTTTAGCTTCCCGCTTTTTATAGTACATGAAGCAGAACAAGAAGAAGGTCATAATGTTATTTTTGTCATCCATTCTTCTCTTTTCTAATCTGGTTGTCCGCATTAGGGTCCGTGGTTGAGGCCCGAAACCTAACCCATCTGACTTTGGGCCAAAAGGATGGATCACCCTGGCCTGGGCTGTTCTCCAGTCAATCCCAAATTATGAACAGTTTAAGTAACCATTGCAGTCACTGTCACATCTTTGGACAATTTACAATTTTCAATAAACCTATCATGTATATTTATGGAATGAAAAACAAAACAAAACGGGATACCCAAGAGAAATGCCTCACCAACACAGGTGGAGCATCCAAATGCCACAATTATTCCCACAAAGTATACAATATTGATTTGTTATATTCTCACCATTTCAAGCGTCTTACTTACACAAAGTTTGTATCTTTTACTTTAGGAAATGTGAATGGATTCTATGAATCTACTATTTCTGTGTGAAGCCCATGCAATTGTGTGTTTGCATTCAAACATAAATATTGTGTTAACATTTGTGAATACAAAAATTGAAAAGCTAAATTTGTAAGAGAACTAATGACACACCAACATGTAAACTTTCACTTAAAATGTGTTAATATTCTTTGGTGTGATTGCATGTGTTTGAATGTGAGTGCGGGGGGTTGTGAATAGCAGACCGACCAAGCCAAGTCAAACACACAGTTGATAGTGTTCGGTAAAGATCTCCTGCATACAACATCTAAGCGCAGATGATGAGCAAAGCCTCATGACACCAGCGGTCATGGTGCCTTTTTTTTTTTTTTTTAATCGGTGGGCCAGTTCAATCGCTGTTCTCCATGCTTTATAATTGAATAAATGAATTAGCATTGTCAATATGTGTGCCAGACTGATTTTCACACAGATACACGATGAACATCAGTGGATAACTAGACTGAAGCTTGTCTTTAGCGGGTGTCACTGTCTGATCGTTTGGCTTGCTTTGCTATTATCACACAGACACACCAGCAGATGCAGTTTTCTAGAAAGGAATGACAACTACAAATTTTATTTGACAGAATTGTGATATTTACCAGGCAGCCCATTGTGTTTTCGAAAGGTTGAACTTGAATGGAACGCTTGGATTTACAGTTTGAAATTAGAGCGGAAATTTTACATTTGAATTAAACATGGACTCTTACTAGCAGCAGTGTTCATGTGAGACTTACCAAAAGAAACATTATAGGATCAAGACAGCAATACACACGTGTAGTCAAATAAGTGATGCTTTGTAGCCCTCTTACTTCAAAAGGACCTGGCCTAAGCATGTAAACATCCATTCATCTGTTTTCTACCTACCGCTTGTCCTTACACGCGAGGACAGTTGTTATCGAATGGCTGGGCACATACATTATAGATAAATAAAGACAAGCGACTGTTCACACTCACATTCAGGACAATTTAGAAGATTCAGTCAACATAACAGGCATGTTTTTGGAATGTGAGAAGATTCCGTGGTAATTGGACAAAAGCCTCAGTGAGAACATACAAACTCCACACAGAAAAAAAAAGCCCGGCTATAAACTCATGACCTCTGAATTATGAAGAGGATTTGTGAACCAGTCGGGCATATAAACAATAAAATAAGTTTTGCCATCCATCCACAATACGAGCTGCTGATGCTTAACTCTTTTATTCCCCGTGACGTCCAAATACATCAAGAAAAGCCTCTACAACCGCAAACCCATGACGTATTGAGATGTCTTTTCCTTTTTATGGCGTCTTAGAGTACAGAAGGGTCTGATGCAGCCTCTGACTCAGGAGCAGGCTTGTCTGCATTATAAATCTTTTAAAATCTGTCCATCGGATGGCAGCGGGTGTAAGGCACCAGCCAGGATCATGCTGCAGAACAAGCAGAAGTAGAGAGGGAGGGATGCATGGGTGGAGTTGTGGAGTAGCGCAGTCATCTGTAGCAACATTCGAACCAGTAGCCATGGAGAAATCAAAACAATTAACCCATGAGAATTGCTTTTGGGTAAAAAAAAAAAAAAATCTTCCACCATGATGAGGGAGATGGAGTTGCTGAAAGCAGCAAGACGCTTTTCTTCCGGGCAAAAGTATGAAGCAGCCATCAAAGAGGCTCAGAACATCGTCTGCCTCATGCAAAAGCCACACCTCAGCGCACGTGCCTTCGCAAAGGCAAGCGAAGTGAAATCAGAATGTGGTGTAAGACATGGTGTATGCCCTTCTATCAGGGCAATTACTTCATTTTATAACACACACACACACACACACACACACACACACACACACACACACGCACACGTACACAAAATATAGATATGTATAAATTGCAGGATGAAGGGGTAAGGGGACACACATGGATTCGCATGCATGCGCACATGCACAGGTCCAAGTACAGTGGACTTACACGTGCTAATACACACATGCACATGCTCACTGAACCAATTGTTTCACTTCTCTTCATAGTTCATTTCATCAGTGCAATAAAGTGCAAATAAATATTTTTGCTACCAAAAGCCCCTTTGTGGTGTTGTTTAGGTTTGTAGAAGGAAACTCTTATTTCGATGTTTGAGATGTCAGAAAAGCAAAAAACAGTGGTGCCATACTTGAAATTCATGCTTTTCCAAAAAGGTCTTTTTCTCTGTATTTTCCTGGCAACCGGTTTATGGTGTACCGTGCCTTCTGCCCAAAGCATGCCCGCGATTTATGTGAGGATAAGTGTTTCGGAGAAAGAATGAATGAATGGATAATGTTATAGAGTACAAGAATTAACTATGACAACAGATTTCATTGATACTGACTCACATTCATTTTGTGTCCACAGATCTTCAGAAGAGCTGATAAAGATGGTGAGTAGATGTTGAATTTACTAGCAGCATTTTAGATTTAGAGTCAAATTTATCATTTGTCTCTGTACTTTGAGGGGAAAAATTGCATAGAAATGAAAATAGACACAAATGTGTCACAGGAAACAACAAAACAAAGGGATACATGAATATACATGAATAATAATGAAATGACAGTGATAATTAAATGGCTTGAGGCTGAAGCAGGTTGGGGATTATCGGGCATAGTGTACAGTAATAGATGGATGTTTAGGCCTATTGTAATTCCATGGGAAAGGTGACAGGGTGTCTGAATTGGGAGGTGTGATATTTGATTTCCTTCTTCATGAATCTCCTTAAAACCTCAAAGAAAATGGAAATGAGAAAATAATTAATTGCGCAACAAATATCCATAGTACACATAGAACGTAAATATACAGCTATTTGTTGTATATTTGCAATATATTCTGGTAGGTATATGGGTATTCATTGCCGTCTGAACGAAATAAATCTATCTACATCTCTCTCTCTCTCCCTATCTGTCTGTCTATCTATCTATCTATCTATCTATCTATCTATCTATCTATCTATCTATCTATCTATCTATCTATCTATCTATCTATTTATTTATTTATTTATGTATAGAGCCTAAAAATGTGAGTATGTGTACCAACTTGGTCTTACCTGGTTTTAACTGTGCAAGGGTGGAAATAGATCGGAGAAGGTGGCGAGCCAGCAACTGGAAGGCCACATTAATAGAAAAAAAAAAAAATCAGCTCAATTTCCACTCCCAAATTATTAATGTATGAGGCCTAACTCTAAAAGTAACCTGAGGGCCTGTGTAATTTTTACTACCTGTACACGCGACCCACTTAAAATGGTACCACAACCTACTTTTTGGTTTGAGCCACCATTTGGGAATCCCTGCGTTTTGTGCCTAGAGTAGACAGTGCTGTTATCTGCGTGTGGCTGTGGGTTCACTATCACCTGGATGGCAGTGGTGACAAATGTTGCGGAGCTCTCAGTTATTGTTTTTAATTTTAAAAGTTTCAAGTGTTCCATTGAAATTAACTGGAATTGACGCGTGTACCCTGGAATAAAGAGGGTTCAAAATTTAACTGTGCTTAAAACAGTCAGACCCCTCAATCTTGTGAACAAATCACATTTATATAAACATTAAAGATGAGGACGAATCATATTTCATCGAAGAGAACATGGAGGATGTTGATGAGATTCAAGAGAAATTAATCGAGACCTGCACAACATTCCAAAGATGCAATATTGTAACGGTGGAGTATGTTGTCTTCACTCCTCCTTCACTCCTAATGTCTCTGTCCTCCACTCACTAACGCGTGCGCGTCAGCATGTCAAGGCTGCTACATTTATTTGCTGATCATCTAAAAGAGATGGCTAGATATATATTTTACAGTACGTTATATTATATTAATTATTTTTAATTTCTTTGTCTCTTTCTAAGTGACTGTTGTTTAAGCGCCTTTAAAGACATATGTACATTTTGTCCAGTTCACGTGCCTGCTATAAATGACTTTTTGGTCAAAAATATACTGTATTTACTGAGTATTAAACACTGTCTCAGTTTAGTGTACAGTGTAGCTGCCGGTGAGCAGAGGTCTGACAAAACTTAACAAAAGAGCGGTAATTTAAATTCTGTCCTGAGAAAATGATTAATCGTCAATGATGTTGACACTGTCAGAGATTAATTTTGTATTTAATATTGTCCTATTTGTGTTTTTCAATGGTGTTTCACTGCACTGAAACATTCTGAGATGTGAATGGTGCACACATCTCAATCAATTACGTCATTTAAAATCAGCCCGCAAACCACAAACAACTAATACCGTATTGTTTTTCAACTCCTTCATTTAAATGAACTCTTAACATCCTGTGATTGCCTGGCTTTCTGGGGGATGATTTTTTTTTTTTTCTTGACGACAAAGTAGTATCAGCATTTAAAATGCTAAAATCACTTACTCACCTATCCTCACACCATGCCTGTTCAAATAGATTCACATTTTGCACTTCACTCTTATCTAGTGATGTTTATGTAAGAAGAAAAAAACACTATCCTTCCATTATCTACAACACTTATCCTGTTCAGGGTCGCAGAAGGATGAAGGCTATCGAAGCTGATGTTGGACAAAAAGCAAATCACACCTGGACTGGTCGCCAGTCAATCACAGGTCACTGAACACTCACATACGCATCGTGACTGAGTAAGAACTGAACACCCACGCTGCAAGCTCGGAAGTTCGGCGAGTGAACCAGTACATCATGAGTGAAACTGAAACTGAAAACTCTTATTTTCTCATGTTTTTTCTTCTTCTTAATTCTAACATGGCTTCAAATGGCAATGCTAAATTATGCAACAACCTAAAAAACATAAATAGTTGATTCATTATAAAACTTGACAGCACACAATTTGGCTTTCAGAGATAGGAACAGAAAAATGCCATGATTCATTTTCCTGGTCATGACCCTCGGAGTTCATAGGGCGCAATCCTAACTGCCTCATGGGCCAGTGAAAAAGCTGCTAAGCTGTATGTCAGTCATGCCTGGGCTGCTGAATGACAAACTGGGGACCCTGGAGAGAGAGCCAGCAGGACCAGGAAGTCATACAGACACTCAACCAAGTAAATCCAAACCCATCAATCCATTTTCGAATGCATCATATTCCAGCTGATCTTGGGGAAAACACATACCGCATTTTCCGGACTATAAATCAGTCCTGAGTATAAGTCACATCAGCTATAAAATGCATCATAAAGTGGAAAAAAAAAACCATACATAAGTCGCACTGGAGTATAAGTCGCATTTTTGGGGGAAATTTATTTGATAAAATTCAACACCAAGAACAGATATGTCATCTTGAAAGGCAAATAAAACTAAAAATAGAGAACAACAGGATGGATAAGTGTACGATATGCTAACGTTACAGGACAGATCAACAACGAACTGAGAATGTGCCTGGTATGTTCACGCAACGTGTTAGTTATTCAGATAATTATAGCATCAAGAACATGCTCACAGGTTTACCAAACCATCAGTGTCATCCCAAATCATTAAATACAATGAAATCTTAATCCTCCGTGTCACTTTTAAAGAACTCCGCGAACACCGCAGGTAGAAATGCGGCGCTTCCTCTTCTACGTCGCTGAGGTCAGAGTCATCATCAGTTGTTTTTATCATTTACCGCCAATGTTGAAAGTATGAACGCAGGCCCCGAGCACCCTCTTGCATTTTAATGTGAAAATAACATGTGAAATGATATAATGTGTTAATCATTTCACACAGAAGTCGCACCAGAGTATAAGTCGCACCCCCGGCCAACTATGAAAAAAACTGCAACTTATAGTCCGGAAAATACAGTACTACGCGCTGGACAGGTCACCTGTCAATCACAGAGCACATTTTGATTAAATGGTCAAATGAATCATGAAAATATATATTGGATGGACAGAAAGAAAATGGCACATGTGATATACTTGCACCTGATGCAGATTTGCCACTGCTCTTATCTTCTCTGGAGCAGCTGTTCTAAAGCTGGAGCACCCTTCCAACCCTGCTGTGGTTTGATTGGTTCCTCACTAGACATCTCGAGTCTTTCGACTATTAGTGCAGAAAAAAACTACGTGAAAAGAGTAGGGATTTGGTTGATACTGTGAGGAAAGATGATAATTATAAGGAAACTTTGATGTATGGAAAGCAGACTGGAAAGGAAGGGAAAGGAACCAGCAAGTGCAAGTTGAAGAGAAGCTAATTTTATCCTGCCTCTCTTGGGAGAAGACCGGGGGAACCGTTTTAATGAGAGGGACATGGAAAGAGAGAAAGGTGCATATTTTAGGGCGCCAGACAAAGGGATATGTGGGGAAGCAAGGAAGTGACAACAACAGCAACAAAGAAAATGAGCAAGAGAATCCAAGGAAATGACGATGATTTCATTGGACAGAATGGCTTTACATTCAGTCTTAGAACCACTGGCTCATTTTACAATGAGCCTCTATATTATGCATCCCCGCTTTCATCAAATGCACACAACATGCCTCGGTAGACATTTTTATTTGTGCTAGTCGGTAATCGAAGCGTAATGCATCAGTGTATTCAAGATGGTTTGCGTGACTCGGTATATGGAGTGTGTGAGTGCATGTGTACCTTGTGTCTGTAGTAATCTGACTTTAAAGGCATTGTTATGCTCCGTGGAGTGTTGCAGTAGCCCTGAACTATGAAATATTAAGTTGGCAGCCCCACCTAATTTAGTGTTTCTACTTGCAGAAACAAACTTAAAAACAAACAAACAAACAAAAAAACTAAAGGGGAATTCCACACAATGCTTAAATAGTTCACTATATTGACTTCAATTTTTCAATGGCTGCTGACTGAAAGTCATCACAGTACATCCATCCATTTGCTATGTCAAGTATCCTGTTCAGGGTCATGGGGAGCTGGAGCCTATCCTTGCTGACAGTGTGGGTTTGGTTCCAACTCACCGTCTGTCAACGTACCCCATGATTGACTGCGGTATGTTTACACTGACAACCATTTTTTTTTCCCATTCTTTTAAAATTGCCAGTTTTAAAGCACGGCTATTGACAGCAACGATAATTTGAGGCTAACATTTTATTGGCATACATTTTTTTCCCCCATTCATTTCAGTTTTATTCAACAGTACCACATATGTCGGATAATCTAAAATAATACAGCAAACTACTAAGAAATTGACCAATCAGGAATAATAAATACGCTGTATACTGTAAACATCGTCATTTATAAGTTGTGATCCTACAAACGGCGTTCGCATCATTGCTATTTGCAAATGTGACTGATCAAAAGATGACAGGATTGATTGCTGCTTTCATCCGGTGGCTGCCAGCTAGTTATTAGCGACTAAACGGCTCCTCTTGTCTCAACCAGACAAGAGGAGCCGCTGCGGGTGCCCGCACCGCCATCGTATGTATCGTAATGGATACGTGGGCCACTATTATACAGGATGCAAGCTGCTTGTACAG